ATATCTTTTTCGCTTCCCTCCACCCGTTGCCCCCATGATTTAGAGGACCTTAACTTTAAGCTCCAGGGGGAGCCCTCCACGTCTTGTCTACTCGCTATATCTAGCAGCGGTACTCCTATTCTCCGAAGACGATTCCTTAGAAGGTTTCAAACGAAATATATTTTTAGAGTAGAAAAAAGTTTTTTTTTTAAGAAGAATTTATCAGCACCATTTGAGTCCCACAAGCTGGGCCGTTTAAAGGTCACCCCACTGGGTTATGTCCTTTCCAATGGAGAAGGAAACTCTGCGATCCAAGCTCTGCATCTAAGCCCTGCGATCCTGCAAAACTTAGCTAATCCAAGATTTCCTAATTCCCTTTCTCTCTCACTGGCAATGAACAACATTTTGAACAGAAATACCTTTTCGACAGGCATTGCTGACATTCCATTACTTTACGTATGATTTCATCATTCTTAATATCTCTAAACATTTCCATTTTTTGCGCTTTTTTTTAAATCTTTACTTTTTTATGTTTATTTTCAAATTTAAGCTTACATTTTTTCTCTTCCTGAAATGTTGAAAAGCTGTTTCCTTTTATGACTTTTACTTCTATTCTTTCTATTACCGCTCCATGTGAAATTACTCTTTCTAATTGCGAAGTCCGCTTCACTAACTCGTCAGAAAGCGCGATGATAAATTGCAAACATGCGATTTCATTTCGTATCAAAGTATAATCCGGAGTAAATATCTACAATAGGGAATCATTCGACAGCTCAGATGATCTTGATCTTGATATATGTTGTCGAGGTCTTGAGTGACCTTCAGATGGTTTTAGTTAGTGCTTGTCCTTCGTTCAAAAGTTATTAACAAAAAATGATTCTACTATATAATACGAGAATTTTTTACTTTAAAATAAAGAGATCATGATCCTGAGTGATCTTCTAGGTAAATATTGACAATAACGGAAGCAGTTTCGATGACTTTGATCTCGACATATATTGTCAAGGTCATGGCCTTGAGTAACCACCTCTGACAGCCGTTTTACATTTAATGGGTATACTTGGAAAGTTTAATAATATATAATAACCTTTTTTTTTAAGGCGAGGAAAATCTTCGCAAGTCCCTTCCGGAGAAGGGGAAGGGGGGGCGTCCGACTCCCCCTTGCCCATCGTCATCGGTGTGAGGCGACTCTCTTTTGTCTACTGCTAATCGACGTGAGAGCACCAGGTGACGCCCCCATGCCGGCCTGGACACTACTCGGAGGGGGGCTACCTGTTGCGCACCAAGTGAGTGGGGCGCCGATTTCCTCGGCAGTCTTTTTGTCTTCACACAGGTGGAGGGTCGTCAGGCTTCGAGCCCTTCCAGAGAAGGGAGGGGGAGAGGGAAATCTCCCATCGGCTCGCCAACCCTAGTCTCTTAGATGCACCAGGTAGCGACGTCCACCGGAGGTTGTATCTCCAGCAGGGCTGCGGGACGTCCGAGTCCAGCGCGCTACTGGACGGCTCGGGGTCGGCAGGGGGAAGAACCTTTCTCTCCCTCCATACCCTCTCGATCTCCTCCTTCCATCCCATTATTTTGGAGCAGAAGGACACCGCTCTCCATTATTCCTCCCTTTCGATCATCTTAGCAACGATAGTCCAGAGAAATAAATCCGGGCCTGATATAACGACTTGAGCTTGGCGCGTTCCGCCTCCCATGCCACGAGGGTGTGGAGCGCGTCGTCTCTTACTGCTGTATAATAGTAATACCTATCGATGCCTTTTTTCTTTATCCGGTGCAGGTATTTCCCGAAGCAATCGTCCCCAGAGAGCACCTGCACTAAGTGGAACATCAGTCCGCTTCCTATCCAGCCATATGGCCAGACAAGGCTGAATGGCCCCGTTGGTCATGCGGCCGAGGGAGTCCGGGTGCAGGAGTCTCTTCTCCTACGCGGATAGTTCTCTCCTTTCTTTCGCCCTCATCATGTCCACTGCCCTCGCCGCAGAAGGGTCCCCTGCCGAGTCTCCCTGATCGCTCGAACGCGTCAGTATAACTAAGCGTGCTCTTTGACGATCAGGTCTACAGAGGGGATTCTAGCGATAGCGGTGACCATCACAAGTGACACGATGCGATAGGCCCGGGCTATCCGAATGGCAAGTTTCCTCGCCACTGGGTTAAACAAGCGCTGGGTGCCTCCATTGCCCGAACCCATACTGGCGCTCCGTATAGGAGCACCGACAATACCGTGTTCACGTACAGATGGCCAGGCACCCGGACTACCAAGGTTGGGCAAGAGACGTCCCAGCGCGGATGCTATCTTGGCAGCTCTGGGAATAATTGTCTCAAAATGCTGAATAAACTTCCAGGGCCCATCCAGAATAAGTCTCAAATATTTCAGTTTGAGACTCACCGTCGCGGACTGACTCCACCTTGATATAGATCTGTGACGGCAAACGTGTACCGAAGGTTCTGGTCTTATAGAAGAAGAAAACCTCCATTTGCTCGGTGTCACCTCCCTCTCCTATTCTCCTTATCCTCCGCATCATCTCGATCACCATAATCTCTGCTCGCATAGTGGCCACCAGCTCTGTTTCCTCGCCAACCACAATCAAAGAATCGTCCGCGTAGCAGACAAGGCTGCAGATAACGGGGAGGGCGGTGCGGAGGATTACATTGTATGCGAGGTTCTACAGCAACTGTCCGAGGACCGATTCTTATAGAATCCCAAGCACATTAAAGTTCGACTCTCCAGTCGGTCAAGTCGATTTGTGTATTTCACGGTCCTGTCCTGAAAATAATCCCACAGCATCTCTCGAAGGTACACGGGAAGGCCATGATATATTCTATAGCCCTTCCTGTAGCCTATAGGGGAGTTGAAAGTTCACTATATCTAATAAAACTGCCATTGCAATTCCGCTCCCCTCGATGTGTTGATCCGAGAAGCAGAGAACCCGAAGGATAGCATCCATCGTGGATGGCCCCTCCCGGAAGCCATATTAGTCGTCACACAAGTTGGTACCAATCCGGGACAAGTGGCGGGTGGTCCGGACAGATATGATTCTCTGAAAAAGCTTGCTCAGTTCACCCAAGCAGATCGATTTATAGACCGATGAAGAGTCTTCGGGTTTCTCCTCCTTCTGCAAGTGGACAAGCCTCTTCCATTCGAAGAAGAACCTGTCAATAAGTAAATGAGGAAGCTCGTAAATAGAACTCTGACTTGGGAAGCGAACTCCTCCATGGCCAGAGCCCACACCCTGCCGAGAACTCAAACCTTCTGGTAACCACTTGTAGTTCGACGCGGTCGTTAATAGTATACAATAACTTAACCCTAACCCATATATAGTATAATATTAAATACTATTTCATACTATTTCATTTACATTTAATGAATATATAATAACCTAACTCTAACCCAACCATAGTATATTATTATATATCATTAAACTTTTCAAATATATCTGAGTATTTTTAAAAAACGTTCCAATTCATCTCCCTCTGTTTAGGGCGCACGACTCCTGTGGGAAGCGACTCCCTTTTTTTATTTTTAAAGCAGTGACTTTTTAGAAACACTAAATCATTACTTTAAAAACACCAATTCACTACTTTACAAACAAATTCACTACTTTACAAACAAATTTACTGCTTTACAAACAAGTTCACATGGGTTTCGATTTTCCACGACGAACGACTTTCGCTTCACATTTCTCCCTGTTTTACAGTAGAAATAAAACATTATTTTTTCAAACTTTTCGTTATTGTTAAAGCAGGTGGGGTAAGAATTGTTTTGCGCAGAAAGTCATTACGTAAACAAGTTATAGAATAATTTTTAATTGGATAAAGCAGAAATAAATCGTTATTTTTTCAAACTTTTTTGTTGATAACTTTTAAACAAAGGACAAGCATCAACTAAAACCATCTGAAGATCATTCAGGATTATGATCTTTACAACATATGCCAAAGTCAAGGTCATCCGAGCTGGGTCCTCTATTGTCGATATTTATCGTAAAAAGAATGTAATACGATTGAAAAATTAATAACGGAAATATTATAATTTCCTTGACGTTCCAAATAATAAAAAATCCTGAGAAATGGGCAAATGAGAGCGTAACGCAATTATTGGAGCGTGATCAAATAATACTGTAAAGTAGTGAATTTGTGTTTTTAAAGTAGTGACTTAGTGTTTCTAAAAAATATACGTACTGTTAATGCAGTAATTGATGTGTAGTAATTCTGCAGTAATTGATTGCGTATATTTTCATAAAAACGAATGTTTCGACTTTTTTTAGAATCATCATCAGCGTTAATTCAGAATATATGCGACATCACTCATGCATCAATATCAGCCACTAAAGAATTGAAAGATCCTAGATGAGGTGCATGAATATATTTCGTTGCAATCTTATACAATTTATTTCTGGAACGAATGCGAAAAAATACCATGTTATTGGCAAATTACAAATACTGAAAATATTGGCAAATTAAAAATACTGAAAATACTGAAAATATGTGCTTACCATTTAATGCTGAGAGATGTCATTACAGGAACAAATAATTATAAGAATAAAGTCCAAGAATTCATGCAATTATCATTATAAAAAAATATATAAATAGTCAGTGTATAAGATAATACTAATTAGTCAAGGCACGGCAGAGTTAAGACTGACGATATTATTTGAAAGTGTGTCACAGATACATACATACATGGTCCATTATAAAAGTAATGCGCATTTTCTGGGAAAAATAGATTTATTGATCGTAGCGGTACAAATGCTCAAAATTCTTCAAAATACTCTCCCCCTGAATCAATACACTTGCGGAGACGTGTCTGCCACGCCTGGAAGGCACGCTGAAACTCCTCGATGGGAATGTCTCTTAGGAACGTTGTAACATGCTTTTGGATGTTTTCCACGGATTTCCAATGCTTTCCTTTCAGCTCTCTCTTCAGACGGGGAAACAAAAAAAAGTCGCACGGAGCCAAGTCGGGACTGTAAGGGGGCTGGGGGACCACTGGGGTGTTGCTCCGGGCCAGGTAGTTGGCAACGATGAAGGCCGTGTGGCTGGGGGTATTGTCATGGTGGAGCTTGATCGCGTCGGATGCTCAATCGACGGTCGGAACGCAAAACTTCGCACACACGATTCACGTTTTCGTCGGTTCTGGCCGTCCAGAACGGGGTTCGTCGGCGACCTCCTCCCGGCCCTCCTTGAACGCCTTGTGCCACCTCCCGGACCTTGAAATGCAGTCGTCCTTGAAGGCCTCTTGAAGCATCTGGAATGTTTCGGTTGCATTCTTTCCAAGTCGCACGCAAAACTTGATGACGTATCGCTGTTCAAGCGAACGCTCCATCGCGCCGTGTTACAAAGTCGAAAAACACACTTCACGCGGAGGCACGTCTTTCCACTCAGACTGCTCGGAGCAAACTGACGACCGGCTGCCTTGGAAGGGCAGACCTCCCACCACATTTCCCGACCCATTTTACCCCGCTGCGATGGATATTCGCGTCACAATAAAATCATGCGCTCATTACTTTTATAATAGACCCTGTATATATATTGTCATTGTTTACAAGGATAAAGTCAAGCGTTAAGATAATAAATTATTTATAATCTGTTTAAAGTTGAAGTCTTGTGTGACACTTCGTGTCTTTTTTGTGAAAAGTGCTGCCTTTACTTATTAGCTCGCTGCATTTTTCGTTTTATTATAGTTGTTGGTGATTATTGTAAACCTCAGTTTTTATCTTCGAATTTATTACTTTTAATGTTTTTGCGAATGCTGGTCGGCAAGCGGAATATATTTTTGTGAGTAAAGCGATTTTTCTGAGTTTCGTTATTTTATTAGTGCGTTTGTATTGCGTTAGTTACGTGCTTTTCATTACATTTTTATAATATTTTATTTTTTATGTGTAATAATTTCTATAGTCACGTCATAATTTTATATTCAAATCTAGCCGTTATATTGTTCGTTCGTCATTTGTTTCTGCCTTTGATTAAAGGATAAGCACACATATAAATAATTATTTTGTTAATTTGCTGCGTGCCTTTGTTGTGCAATCCTATGCGTAAACACATTCTCTTATAGTATGTCTAATTTTGTGTACTTTAGCATGTGTCAGTCGACGTGTACCAAATGTAAATGGTTTATTTCACGTAAGCGCCCTCGTGCTTTTTGTGGCGCTGACAATAATTTGCGCCTCTTCGATAATTGCGTTCCTGTTGTTGCAACTGGGAGTGGACCATTGTTGCCTCTGCTTGAAGCTGCTGCTACCTCCTCGTCTGGTTGCGTCTTGCTGCCAGTCCACTACCGACGAAAATGACGGAATGCGATATCATTCTTCTCACAAGGAAACACAAGTAAATCTCTCTGATTTAAATGAGCTTTTAGTATGTTATTCTATAGACAAAAATAGGAGATACATATTTTTTATATATTTATATTTTCTATACTGAGTTGCATGTTAAGGGGGTGAAAACCTCCCTTGAAAAAAATCGGTTTTTTTCTTTCTAATTGAATATATAATTGAATATCAAAACTATGAAAGATAGAGAAAAATGTTTTAAATAAAAATTGAATGATTGCAAGAGTTCATAACTATAATAAAAAAAATTTATTTATTTATTGTTTATTGTTTATTTATTGTTTATTGCACATTTTTACTCCTAAATTAAAAAAAATTTTTTAATTTTTATAATAACAAAATTAAATAGCATTTTACGCTGAAAACAACGAGCAGTAATAAAGCCATGTTCCGCAAATGTAACGCATTTTTGGAATATGAATGAGAAACACTTCTATATACGCTCAATGAGTGTCTGTTTCATGACACTTGCAGCGCGTTGGCACGACTAGTTGCCTGAGAAAGCTCAGCGCAGGCCGAGAATATTCGATCCACTGGCTACTATCGATCGCTTTAACGAAATGCGGATAGAGTTTTCCCTTTTCGGCTTACTGAGAACGTCCAGTGAAGACAGAGCGCGCTCTATCTCCTTGTTTTCGCCTACTAAGTGGGAAACGGTCGGAGCCGATCGGAAAGCGTATCGAAAGCACTCGATAGAGGCAAGATATGCCTTACCTCGCACGTTCCGGATTTGACACTAGAATTAGGATTGATAGCAATACAATTTTTTATAATCGTAAAATAATGTTTTTTTGTCGGAGCTCGGCGGCACTCGGCTTCCTTCACCCGAGCTCCCCCACGAGTATGCCTTTCGACACTATTTCGTGGGGACCGGGAACTCGGCGATACTCGATTGTGTTTCGAACACGATTCTTCGTTGCGAGCTATCGTCACCTGTGAATTTTGTTTGAATTATTATCGGGCGCATCGCGCCCTCATTGCGGCATAATGCCGCGACATCCGGCTTGGCGGGAAGCCGGAAACGATGCATTATCTGAGGGTGCATCGTTACAAGCAATAATAATTTCTTAATAAAAATGTCATTGCATATTTGTAGGATAATCTTGAAGGGTATGTGAGAGGATAATCCCGAAGCATCTTCATTACTTGTCATATCGTCATGCCTGACGCACGGAATATCAACTCTATATAATTAGTAAACTTTAATCTCTATTAATTTAAAAACTATTAATTTAAAATCTATTACAGCCTCGATATCTTCATATTAGGATTTTCGTTCTAGAATCAGTTTTTAAAACTGGATGAGTCGTAGGACATCCTGTATATACAGGGTGCGTCACCATAATCCGGACAAATTGAACAATTTCTTTAAATAAAATGTTTTTAATAAAAAATTAAATATTACAAAAAATCCTTTTACATGACACTTGGAGAATCCCTGTAGATTTATTCGATATATCCCCCATTATTCGATATATCCCCCATATTAGCTTGAATGACGGCCTCTTTTCTCGATCTAAAGCGTTCGCACGCACGTTGTAATGTAGCGCTGTCCATACCGACGAATAGCGGTCCTTAATGATGTCACATTGGGCTGCCGAGATTTGTTTGTGACTTTTTTAACTGCGCTCCATACATAGTAGTCCAAGGGATTTAAATCTGGGTTGTTGGGAGGCTAGAATTCCTTGGACCAAAACATATTGTCTAAGAGCCAATTTTGAATTAAATGACTCATATGAACCGATGCACCGTCTTGCTGGGCCTTCCGGACGCCACAGTTTCCATCCATATAGCTTCACTACATCCATCAGAACACGCAACGATTGCCCTGGGTCATTCGAAATCAGCGCTTGAACTCTTTCAACGATTGCGGAAGTCCTTGCAGTGCGTTCTTTCGAGTGGAAGAGTCAGTCTTCCTCGTTGGCATACTGGAAGCTTCGTTGGATTGTTCTAAAGTAGTATATTATGCCACAACGTCATAAACGGTTGATCTCAGGTATTCAAAAAACCGAATTATTTCCGTTGCTGAGCACTCAGCGCAAAGGCCTTCGATTATACTCTGCACTTGGTTTCAACACGCGGCATTTTGAGAATGACTGTTTAGAAGCATCAGGCTTTCTCGGACGCTTACAACAAGCTCTGATGGAGACACAATATAGCGGAAAATTTAAATTGAAATTTGTCCGGATTTTTATGACGCACTGTATGTAATTGTGACGAAATTTATGATATAAAAATTTGATTACAGATGGAAGAATTTTATGCCCAAAGTTATCGTGGCTCGTGACATAGTACAACGACCATCGGCACTTACCGTTGATTCCTGGAGAGATAACATTATTATAACCTGTCCAGGATCAAGACGGATTGTCGTTCTCGACAAGAAGTTCAAACTTATACGGAAAATTCGTCATCAGGAGATGATAGCACCTCAAGGAGTAGCCTTCCTGCAGAAACACGATGAAATATATGTGACAGGTATTGATATAATATATAATTTTTGAACAATGAGACACAATTCGTCAGAATATGGCTTAAAACTTGAACCTTTAAAACTTGATTTATTAGTTTTCATTGATTTTTAGTATTTTTTGTTTTTGCTATATCTTTATGACTTTTTCTGAAAAATGATTTAATGAATCAAAAACTAATAAATACATAAATAAATAAGAAATATAAGGTTATTACAGCAAATAAAAAAATAAAATTTACGATATAAATAATGAATTATTTGTCAAGTAGTGTATGTATAAAAAAGAAAAGATAACACATCACTTAAAAATAATAGCTGATTCTTTAATCTTTAAAAATATCATACATTATCTTTAAAAAATAAGATAAAAATGATAGTTTTTTTTTAAAATGGGAAAACACTAGTAAATAACAGAAGTTTCAATTAATGACCAATGCGTACTAATAAATGATCTACAATTTTTCTTTTTAAAAGAAAAAAAATATGTAGATTTTAGTAAATACATAGATATTTAATTAAGTAAATGCTGTCAGATTAATTATTTATTTCCTATTATATTCATTTTGTATAAAGAACAACACATTTATTATTAAACACTCTTTAAAATATGTATTTTTATTGTATAATTTTATTAGACTAGAAGCGTAATTATACATTTGGTAATTATGCAGAATAGGATCTTTTCCGAATTTCGACATTTTTCGGTTGCATTACTGATATTAATGTTTGTTGTGACTCAAATAATAAGTTAGAGAGATTGAAAAATAAAAATAATTTTCTTTGAAAACGTTACATATAGTAGCGCATATAGGGGCCCACGACTTCCATAGGAAACGACTCTCAACCCACTTCCTCCCTGCTTGGACACACAATTCTCACCCGAAGCGACTCTTACCCTATCCTCCTGCTTGAGAGCGCACAACTTGCACTTCTACGGGAAGTCGGTTGAGTGGAAGTCGTGCGTCCCTAAGTAAGGAGGGGGGAGAAGTAAGGAGTGAAAGTAGTGAATAACTACCAAGCAACTACCAACTAGCAGGTGGGATGGGAATCGCTTCCTATGAAAAATTGTGCGTCCCTATGCGAGGAGATAAGGTAGATTAAATAATTAAAAAAATAGACTATATATATTTTTTGACTTCCCCCGACTTATTATCACTATTTGAGTCATAACAAAAATTATATTATCAACATTGCAGCCGAAAAATGTCGGAAATGAAATTCGCAAAAGATCCTATTCTGCATAATTACAATAAATTTGTTATTTTAATAATAATATAACCTTAATAAAAACATAATCTTTTTATTTTTATAAGAATGTATATTGATCAATGTAACTTTTCCATTTTAACATTTATTTTTTACAAAAGTATATAAATAGAAAATATTTATTCAATTAACTTAAAATTAATAAAACTTTTTTTTATTTAATATTATATATAGAAACCTGCACGAATAATAATAAAAAAAAAATTCTGTGATATTACTTAATATAAAGTAATAAATTAAGTCTTTACGTTTTTTAAGATTTTTAATAGAAACTTTTATTTTCTTTATTTTGTTTTTTCCTTCTACTTTTCTTTTCCAATTTTCTTTTTCTTTTAATTTTCGTTTTGCCAATTGCTGCTTTTTCTTTTCTTCTTTCTCAGCCTGTCATTGTTCAGTAATTCTCTATTTTAAAATTTCCATTTTTTTAATATAATAGCGAAAGTATTTTCTTGTTTCACTTTTTTTTATCAATCTTTTCTGTACCAGGAAAATGTAAATGCTCTTTTCATAGTTCTTAATATTGACATTCATATTGATGTTTATTTCCTTTATGATCAGGAATCTATTTCGTTTTCAGTTTCTGTAACATTTACAATAGATTATATACAAAAATTATTATATTCGTATAAAGAAATTAATTTAAAAATATGAAATAAAAATGAATAGTTATAAAAATACCTTTGAAAACATCAAAAGATGATTGCGTAGAAGAACTTGTTTGACATTTAATATTCAAATCATAGTAGATGATGCTTTGAAAGAATCAACATTTTCTCTAATTTCCATTGTATCAAAACAATTTTTTATATCTTTTGTATTTAAAATAAAATGTATAAAAAAATTATTTATATAAATGAAATGTATAAAAGGTTATTATATAAATAAAAGGATAATAATATAAAATTAAAAATAAACAAAATCTCTCAAGGCTTAACAAATTAATAAATTCAATAAATTATTTATATAAGAGCAAATGAGCCAAGCATGTTGTCGGTGCACAACAGAATATTGTGCAAACTTATTATTACATAAATTTTCCAAACGTTTCAATTTTCTACGGAACCCTTTTTAGTGGATAAATGACTTACGATTACATATACAGGGTGTCATGAATATACGGCTCCAGCAGGGGCCCACTTGTCTCGAGCAGGTAGAATGGACTAAACTGAGTAGAAAAGTCCTCTACCATTTTGCAATGCTCGCAATAATTAACGAAATATTAACGTTTAAAGAAAGCCGAATACGCACGTCCACCTGACCTACTATTGCCGAAGATACGGCCCACTGAGCGCGTGGACCGCGAGGAGCAGGGATGGGCCTAGTAAGCACGCCCCGCGCACCGTCGCTCAAACGGCACGGTGCGACTGCTAGGCCTTTTCTATAATAGAGGACTTTTCTACTCAGTTTAGTCCGCTCCATCTGCTTGGGGTAAGTGGGACCGTATATTCATGACACCCTGATAACGGTCCTTTTTTCTTTCGTCAGTTACGCGTCGTTAGATTAACATAAAATAAAAATTGTCGTGATTATTTCATAACGCATTCGGAGTTGCGATTCATAATAAATTCGAATGAACATTCTTGTGCATTTATAGTATGGACGTAGAAGTTTGAGAATTGCCAGGTCGAAAAAAGAACAATTAGATGTTGACAGATTGTTGGACATAGTCAGAAACATTCAATATCTGTCAAAATCTAATTGTTTTTTCTTTCGAACTGATAATTCTCAAACTTCTATGCCCACATCACCAGAGGGCAAGACAATAAGTTCTTAGAAAAACATAGTAAAACACTTTTTTTTTTTGATCGATTCATTTTTATTTCTCATAGTCTCCTTTCAGCTTGATCCAACGATTCTCCAACTTTGTCAAGCCGTCCGAATAATATGATTTGTCCAACCCTTCAAAGTAAGCCTGTTTCGGCGATGAGCTGCTCTCTGATGGTGAATCTCTTTCCTCCGAACCATTTCTTCAGGTTTGGAAATAGGAAATAGTCGCAGGGGACTAAATCTGGCGAATATGCTGGATGGGAGAGCAATTCGTAGCGGAATTCATTGAATTTGACCGGGCACGTGTGAAACCGTGCATTGACTTTATGGAAGAGCACCTTCTTCGCCAAATAAGGACATTTTTTCTTTAAAATGTTGTTAAAACGGTCCAATAAGACTGCATAGTAATCGCCATTGATTATTTGCTTCGATGGAAGATAATCGATATAAATTATACCGCGTGCATCCCAAAAATCTATAGCCATCACCTTTCCGGCCGACTTCACAGTCTTCGCCTTCTTCGTAGCTGGTTCACTCGGTGAAGTCCATTGTTTTAACTGTTCCTTCCTCTCGGGTGTGAAGTAATGGATCCATGTTGCGTCCACAGTAATGAATCGACGCAGAAATCTGGATTACGTTGAAATATCTCCAAACATTGTTTTGAAATCGTCACACGGTCTTATGGTCCACAGTGAGCAAACGCGCACCCATCTTGTCGATAGCTTTTTCATACCCAATTGTTCGTGCAAAATTGAAATCACTGTGCCATGTGATATGCCTGTGGCCTCAACAAACTCGCGCACTTTCACTTGTCGATTAGTCAAAACAATATCGTGGATTTTATCGATGATTTCTGGCGTAGCAATCTCAATTAGATGTTCCGAACGAGGTGCCTCACATGTGAATGTACGACCATGTTTAAATTCATTCACTCAATTGTATACAGTCGCAAATGCTGGTGCAGATGTGCTATGAATATTATCCAACTCGGCTTTGATTTCTTTCGGCGTTAAACCTTTATATATAGATGTTTGATCACTACACGAAACTCGTTCTTTTCCATTTTGCAAAAAATACAAAAGTTGTTCGCTTTAATCGTGTGCG